TCTAAGGGGTTTTTCGACTTTTTGGGAAAGATTGGGCAGCCGACCTAGGGTAGTTTTGCACGCTGAATTCGGCTGTGAAATCAGATCCGTTTTTTCAAGTTGTCTGAACAATTTATTTGCTACAAACCAAAAATATTTCGTAGGTTTTTCTGAAAAATAGTGATTTTTCTAAGGCACGGTCAAGTTTTTTGGAATGCTTAAACTTGGTTTGACTTCAGAATCACTATAGTGGATGCTAGCTTAAAGTTTTTTCCATCAGGTTTTATTAAAGAACAAATAAGCACCATCGTGCAGACTTATACACCAACAATAACATCACAAGTATGAGAGAAAAGACAAACTAGTAGTCTGCAAAGATTTCTTCGATTTCTTCGAGCTGTTTCGTTGTTATCGAATAGTTTCCACGTGACGTGGTATTCGGTGGTACTAATAATAAGCAAACAATTGTGCCGAGCTCAATATCCATGTTGTGCGATCTTTGTGGAAATTTGAATGTTGTTTTCGGACCTGGAGGATGTAAAAGAGATATATTTAGTTCTTTTAAATTGAAATTAATCTCCAGCACTTTACACAACCACCAACAACAATCATGTTCGACGATAATGAAATCATTCACGTTTACATCTTTTATTTTTAAAATCGGTTTAATTTGTTTTAATTTATTATAGCGCTTTGAGCGCATATCAAAATCATCGAATTCGGCGGTTGTAGATGTAATTTTACAACGTATATGTGTATCATTTAATGGTTCAAAATGGTGAAAAGATCTTATACCTGAGACATAGACAAAAAACATAATAGTTCAATCTGAAGAATGTCCAGTTGAACGCCCCACCTTTAATTGGCCCGGAAGTCGAACGATCATTCCATCGATCAGCTAGTTTGTTAACATAGTTTTTTTTCACTTGTTCTTCATCAACATACCATACATGTATCTTTTGCTCAAAATAATGTGAATGTGTGGTTGTTGTCGAGTGAGAAGAGCCAGTTCTTGATGGCACTTGCTTTGGTTTAAATTTTTCCTCAGAAAAATGATACAATTCAAGTGGTGTGGTCAACGATTTCTCAGGTCCACCAGCCCTCAT